ATAATTATATATACAGTACCTAATTTATATATAATTAATATATAATTATATGTACAGTACCTAATTTATATATAATACTGTACAGACGATAGCAAACTCAATTTAGCCGCTCTGTAGCGTGGCGCAGGGCGGAGGAAAGTAGTTCGGCTGCTCATCCACTATTGGTCCAGATTCTATCAATCTTGTCGCGAAACGAGTCGGCAACAACGTTTTAGGAGCTCCTTTATACGTATGTTGCTACAATTTTTTCGCTACGTTATAGGAATTTCCATTATAGGAACGCACGTTATAGGGGGGTCGACTGTATTAATTATTATGGAGAATAAAGTAAGAGATAATTATTAATTTCAAATTGTGATCCATCTATGTGTTTAATTTTCTCAAAGTCGGATACAAGAAGTGATTTATTCTTAAAATTTACAATTTTTTAGAATTATTATTTTAATGTATGGAAAGATTTTTCATATTGACCAGTGTTATTGTAAAGGGAGGCTACCATTGCCATATGACAATACCATAAACATATTCTTTATTACAAATATAATAGAGAATTATCTTCTATGATAGTCTGTATTATATCATAATGATAAATCTATTTTTAATATACCATAATAAAATTTAAGGAAAAGTTTATATAAATTTTTTGACAAGAAATTTCATAATACAATAGTTCAAAACAATTTAAATCAGTTTGTTTGGTAAAGTAGCGTGTGTGTGTGTGTGTGTACATATAACATTTTATTAAAAATGTTTTTTAATTTGATTATTTTAGCTTGTTTATAATATATTAATTTTAAAACAGTTATTTTTCAATCTAAAATGTTTACATTATTTCAGATATCACCAGGTTTAGCTGATAGTGAATTTGGAAGAACTCGTTTAAAGGAATTCACATTTGATCATTCTTATTGGTCTTTTAGTTCATCAGATCCTCATTTTGCTTCTCAACAACAAGTAAGATTAATGATCAATTATTATTAAGATATAATTAAATAATTTAACTATAATATTTATAGACTTATTTAATAAAAAAATAAGTAACGAATGATATTTGATCAAATTTATTAACATATGAATTTTGAACCATGCTGTTGAATAATTATTTGTGTGTATTGAATTTAATACCTAATGAATTATCCTTGGAAAACATTGTTTGCAAGGGGCATTTGAGGAAAATAGAAAACTGTTCTGGAAGCAAATGAAGAGTATACAAAACAACAGGAATAAAGTATACCCTATGTACAAAGTGCAAATGATGAGTTGCTGTGGAATGAATGTGAGGTGCATTAATATTTTGAGAGGCAGTGGAGATAGCATGAATGGCAGAACAGTTGTGGAGATAAATGTAGTGATGGATGAGGCCCTATTCAACTGAGTGAAGTTAGGAATGCAATAAGAAGAATGTGGAAAAATGGATGCTGTGATTCTGCAACTTATGTTGGAAAAAGGGTATGATTGGGGAAATTATTTGATTGATCTGATATACAAGGGAAAGGGTGAAAGGACAGATTGCAAGAACTTTTGTGGTAAAAGCTTGCTGAGTATACCTGGAAAAGTGTTTGCACAAGTGTTGATTGGCAGAGTTGAGAGGCTGACTGAAAAGCAAATATGGAAGGTGCAATATGGATTTATTAAAGGTAAGTGTGTAGACCAGATCTTCACATTGCAAATGATTGTGGAAAGTTTGAATGTTGGTAAAAATGTGTTTTCAGAGTTAGATTTAGAAAACTCATATGATGGAGTAAACAGGGAGAAACTGTAGCAAACATTATGATTATGGCATGAGAGGTAAACTACTTAGAGGAATGAGAATTATAGCCATGCTCTACTGTTTTCATATATATGTGGATAGTAAAGTGTCAAAGTGGTTTATGATTGAGGATGGTGTATGACAAGGGTATGTTATGTTCCCATGGTTGTTTAATGTTTCCATGTATGCATACATGAGAAGATCAAGTACTTGAGTGTGGAATGAGGATTGGAAATGAACAAGTCTGTTAGTTGCTGTATGGTGATGATACTGAGCTGTTAGCAGAAGGCATGGAAGAGCTTCAGAGTGTTGTGTCTAATCTTGAAGAGGTATTTGAAGAAAATATACTGCAAGTGAATGTGAGTAAAACTAAGGCAATTGTTTGAATGCAAAGTGAGCAAACAGAATGCATGTTTGAGTTGGACAGTGAACAACTGGAAAAAATGAATAAGTTTGTATGTGTAATATGATAGATAGGAAAGGAAGGATAGACTGAGAAATCACCAAAAGAGTGAATGCTAGAGCAAATGTGGTCAGTGCAATGAGTAAATTTGCAAGGAATAAAAGGATGTCCAAATAGGTAAAAATGGCTGTGTAAGAACATTTTCTGCATTCAGTTCGATTTTTCTGCAATATATGTAATCTACAATGCATTGAAGGATTTTTCTGTTGATACCTTTTAATTGAAATTCTTGTCTTTCATCTCTATCGATTGTATTGATAAATAGGATTCAAAATAGTAGGAATAAGCTGCCATGAGACATTTATGCACTGGAAACTCTCTTCCTCCTCGTCTTACGGATTGCATCACAAAAATTGCCTGAATCTCTCATTTTCTTCATGATATTTAATGAATTCTGGCTCAAAGTTCTTCCTACTTTTGAAGGCATTTTTCTTGTATCCTCTTAATTCATATGTTGATTGTTTTGAGTAAATAATACATCGTAAATAATGCATGTCTATTGCAGCATTTTTAAGTGTTAGATGTGGTGTATTTAGTGATATTTCCAGCTTTTAAATTAATGTTCTATTTTTAAAAAATGCATTTGTTTGTATCTGCATCTTCAGACTTGAGGATGACTGTTTACAAATGGAGGAAAATGTCTGTTTTCATTTTATTACATTTATTTTTTGCTGTTTTAGTGGATGCTATTTACATCTAGCTGTGGTTATTTATCTTAATTATATCAGTAGTTTCATAGAGATTGTATTAATATGGTTACACTGGCAAAATCTTATAGAAAAACTGTCATGAAATTATGCAGAACATCTTCAAAACTGAAGTTTCTTGTTAATTTCTGTTTGCTTTGATTATTCCCTGCTTCCATTTACAGCATACATTTTACCACCTGAATGTTCTACTTTGCTTCCAGTAGTCAGAAGCTTCTGCTTGAGAAAGGCAAACGATTGGATAAGAGAAGATATGCTTTACTGAACATCATCATTTGTTTGGAGAATTATTTGATTTTGCTATAAAGTAAAGCTGATATTGAAATTATCTCTAAATTATTTTAAACAATTTGCTTATGTATCTGTACAGTTTTAGATAAACTTTGATATTCTAAAAAATTATTTTATTTTTAAAAACAAAATTATTTTAACACTGTATAACAATGCTTTAAACTTTTTAGATCAAATCAAACTTTTTAAAAACTAATTTAAAAACCAATCGCAACAAAAAATTAAAATTATCAATGTATACTGTATAAAAACAATTACTGAAACGAACCTTAATGAAAATTTCAAAATAATTATTAAATGATATAGGCCTAATTAAACTAACTAACAAAAATTAAAAACAATTCTTTAAAGAAATTAATATTTATAGAAAAATGTTATTATATATATAATGTAATGTTATTATATATATA